TGTCTTACAGTAGGTGAATGAATGAATAAACTGTTACATTCAGATGATGGAATATTTTTCAGTGCTAATAAGAAATGACTACCAAACCATGAAAAGATCAGGAGTCCTTAAGTATATATTATTGATTTAAAGAAACCAGTTTTAAAAGGCCACATACTGTATGAATCCAACTGCATGACATTCCAGAAAAGAAAACTGTGGAGACAGTAAAAAGATCAGGGCTTGGGTAAGAGGAAGAATGAGTAGGTTTAGCACAGAGGATCTTTAGGGTAGTGAAAATATTCTGCATGATGTCAAAATGATGGGTCTCATAGAATGTAAAACACCCAGAGTGAAGCACTTTGTGAAATAGAATTTTATTTGTGGGCTTTGGGTGATAGTGATGTTTCAGTGTAGGTTCATCATTTGTAACAAATGTCCAACTCTGGTACAGATGGTGATAATGGGGGAGGCTGTGCATGTGGTGGGAGCAAGGAGTGTACAGAAAATATCTTTACCTTCTCAGTTTTTGCTGTGAACCTAAAACTGCTGGGGGAAAAATAATGAAGTTACTTTTAAAAATGCTTTGAAAACCAATGTATTTTAAAATGTAAAATAATGTTGATAGTGTGATTATGTGGAATCAGTTTTATTAACCTCACTCTGTACATTAACTTTCTGCCAGTTATTTCCTCCTTTCCTAGTAGGTATGAGTGGCATGTCTCCTTGTTGGCTTCTGTTCTTCTGCCCTTTTCTTGAACCTTCCCACACACCCCTGCTTCCCTCTTTCCTCTTCCCCTTTTCCCTTTCTCCTTCCCCTTCCTTCCCTTCCCTTTTTTCTTCTTCTGCTAGAGATGGAACTGAGGACCTCAAGCATGCTCCGTCAGAGCTGCCCTCTCCTCCCCTTCCCCTCCTCTCCCCATTCCCTCCCCTCCCCTCCCTCCTCTTCTCCCCACCTCTCCCCTCCCTCCCCTCCCCTCCCTCCTCTTCTCCCCTCCCTCTTCTTGGTGCTGGAGATCAAATTCAATGCCTCAGGTATCCTAAGCTCTACCACTGAACCACATCCCCAGCCCTTGTCTCTTTTACTGACTCTTCTATTGCCTCCTTTTTCTGCTTCTAAAGATGCTTGTGGTTGTTTAGACCCACCAGGGATATTCTGATTATTTTGAGGTCAGCTAATTAGCAAACTTAATTCTATCTGCAACCTTAATTCTTTGTATATAATGTAATATATTTGCAGGTTCTGGAGACTAGAACATGGACAATTTGGGGAGTCATCACTCGGCCTATTATAATGTGTACTTATTTTATATATATGCAATTTATATTACATAATTGAATATATTTTAATCTCGTTTAACTCTTACAACATCCTTATAAAACAACAGCTACTTTAATATGAGAAAACTGAAGACTAAGTTAGTTAGGAAATATGTCTAGGTTCAGGGCTGGTAAGTAACTGTGAGTTTTGAGCCCATGACTCTTTTCCTTTAAAGCTATGTCCTTAATCATTAGGCTAAAGTTTGTATGCTAAAAATTTTATTTTTAGGGGCTGGGGATTTAGCTCAGTGGTGCTGCTGTCTGCCTCACAAGTGCAAGGTCCTGAGTTCAATCCTCAGTACCAAAAGAAATTTATTTTTATTTTTCAACAAAAAGACTACTATAATCAAAATGATTTGTGTGTGTGTGTGTGTATGTGTGTGTGTGTGTGTGTGTGTGTGTATGTGTAGGAATGAAAGCTCAAGGAGTATATAGCAGTTAGAATTCAAATAAACATGTTGTTTTAGTAATAAAATCATCATTTGTGCTACATATATATCTTCATAGACTTTTGGTAGTGACTTTTACTTTTCATACTATACACTAATTTTCTGAACTGTTAGCACAGTTTGCTTTTAAAAAGTTAAACTGGTGTAAGTTGTACGAAAGTGAGCTTCAACTTTGCTTATTTGCAGAATTTAAAATTAAACAAGACCTCAGGAAGGATGTTCATTCTCTTCTCTTGAATACCTTAATTTATCACTTTTCATTCGTACTTAGAAATATATGTAGAATTTTCATTTCTGTGGTCTTAATTTCCAGTAATATGTTTCTGTACCCATATTTCCCAGATGATTATTCTTCAATGAAAATAAGTAGCAGTGAAATATAATCTCTCCAGTCATGGACTGATATCACAAGTAACAAGATAAAAGCTAAAAGAGGTGGCTGCAACTAAACAAAGTGCCTATAAAACTTTCAAAAGTATAGTACTAACCTTTAGAAGAAAAACACAGCACAAGGCAAAAATGGTATGAGAGAAATGCAACATACTAAGGAATACATTCAGATAGCAGAAGGAAAAATAATAAAGGGGCTCTTAACACTTTTCATTTTCTCACGTTATATCAAGGACATAAAATCCCCTTGAAAGCACCTTATATCTATGTACCTGCTACCTTCTATCTATCTACCTTCCCTCAGTGCTTTGCAGAGGAAATATTGAATCAATATTTATATTTATGATTGTCATAAAAGCTACTTTCAAATGATCAATTTTCAAACTCAAATCCAAGTTCATAGTGAACCATGAGCTATTTAAAGGCTTGAAGGGCCAGGTATTTAGTTCAGTCGTTCTGGTGCCTGCCTCGCAAGCATAAGGTCCTGAGTTCAATCCCCAGTACCAGAATAATAATAAAGAAAGAAAGAAAGAAAGAAAAGGAAGGAAGGAAGGAAGGAAGGAAGGAAGGAAGGAAGGAAGGCAGGCCTGGGAGGGAAGTCAGAGGAAGGAACAGAGAAGCATGTGATTCTGTGGAGTTTGGTTGTGGCAGTAGTTCCTTATTATATGTTCCTAAATGATATTAACTACTGTTTGAAGGTAGTGATTATATTTTAGTTTCCACCTCTCTAAACCTAGTACTGTATCTGGTATACATTAGGTACTTAACAAATCGTTATTGGATGAAGAAGAGACAAAAGGCATTGGATTCTTTAATGATACCAAGCTAAGGAATGGGGCTATAGAAAATAGCTACCTATATGCATTTTGAATATACATTTTATCTTTAAAAATGTTTCAGCAAGCTGGGCATGGTAGTGCATGCCTATAGTTCAGACCACTCTGCAGACTAAAGCAGGAGGATGAAGGTCACTTGAGCCCAGGATTTCCAGGCACACTCACACATAAATTATAAGTTTGTTACCTCTTATACTAATTCTTATATACATTATAAACTCTTAAATGTTAAGTGTAAAAATATATTTAAAATAATTTAATGGTATTTTATTAGTAATGTAAGTCTTGCTTTTATTTCATGCTTTGTTACTTGGTACCTTATTACCTTTTTAAAAAAAATACTGAGTTTATTGGTACTTTTTAAGTATGCAGTACAGTTATACATTCATCATTGGGATCTTGTACCCTTAATGACAGATCTTGGTTCTCATTTTTCCCCATACCCTGTCCTCCCTTCACCCCTTCCACCCTCCCCCATTTACAAAGACTTTGTTTCCATTTTTTCCTTTTCTCATACTTTTTCTTGTCCCTTATTTCCTTCCCCCATCCTTCCCACTTCCCCTACACCTTTAGCTCTTTTCTTCCTATTTCACATTATCAGTTATACAATTTGGATCTTATTTACACTTTTAGTTTTTCACACCAGAGAAACTATTCAGTATTTACATGTGTTTTATTTATTTCACTTAAGAGTATGGCCTCACTATGCATCCATTTTCCAATGAATGACTCTAGTTTCTCATTCTTTATGGCTGAGTAGTATTCCATTTTATAGAAAAACACATCTGTGGTATGATTCTTTTAATTTTTTTGGAAAGATACCCACTTTAACAGTTTGTGATGTAGTGATTTAAAGATCAAGTTCTAAGTTTAATCATCCTTATACTTCATTTTAACTCATAGCTGAAAAGAGATTTCAAAAAGATACTTAGATTAAAACAGAACAAGTACATTATCATTGGCTTTATTACTCATTTTATTTTGTACTCTTCATTAACCAGTTCTATAAAGATTTTTTGTTAAATTTTGTCTAGTAGATTTACATTTTTTCTGTTTTAAATCAGCAGTTCTTGCAAATGAAGGTCGCTGTATTTTACCTTATTAGCAGATGCATTTAAGACCCACTGAAAGGCATTATACTGAAAACCTTCAAAGTAGAAAGCTGTGTTTCCAAAGTTGTAGTGTGCAGAGAGTTTAATATGCTTTTCCCCCCATACATTGTTTTTCTTAAAAAATCACACACTATTGGAAATATTTCCAAATATTTTCAAACTTCTCTCTCCAAAGTCCTTCTTTCAAGACACATATGTACATAAAGGCAGTGAGGGGAAGGGAGTTGTTCTCCAACTCATTGATAAAATTTGACCTCAAAACTAAAGCATGAGTCAGACACAGTGGCACACTGCCTTTAATCGCAGTTGCACAGGAGACTGAGGAGGATTAGAAGTTTGAGGTCAGCATTGTGTAACCTAGAAGAACCTCTCTCAAAATAAAAAGGAATAAAGATTTAGTTTACTTCTGAGCTGGAGGATCTGATTTAATTTTCAGAATCAGAAAAAAAAGGTAAATGTATGTGTATTATCTACTAGGTAATAGTATCACAGAAAAAGGTAAAGAAGTCTGAAGTCTAGATTATTTAGATTTTTGTCAGAAGACTGCATAATTCATTTTAATAACAATTCGTGCTTATGTGATATTTATTTTGGTGGTAGATGTTATACCAAGAGATTTGTATATATAGTCATCTCTTGGTACCATGGAGGATTGGTTCCAGGACCCGGTGGATACCAAGATCTCTGGATGCTCAAGTCCCTTATATAAAATGGCATTTAAAATTAACATATAATATATGCATTCTCCCTTATACAGTATTTTAAATCCTCTCCAGGTTATATATAATATCTAAAACAATGTAAATGATATATATACAAGTAATTGTTACACTATTGCTTAGGGAATGATGACAAGAAAAAGTGTATTATTGAGTACAGACATAATTATTTTTTCAAATACTTTCCATATGCAGTTTGTTGAATCTACAGATGTAGTACCTGAGGATATGGAGGGCCAGCTATCCTGTATATAACTCACTTCATCCTCAGAACAACCCTAGTAAGTAGATAAGGATTATTATCTCTACTGTGGATGAAGAAACCGAACCAGAAACATTACATAACTTTTCCAGGATAACATGCCTTGCTATGGCAGAACAAGCCGGGCAGTGTGTGTCCAGGATCTATGCTTTTAACCACACCTATTTTAAATACTTTGATGGAAGGTAAACTTTTTGTTTTGTTTTTTGTTTTTCACTACAGGGTTTGGACCCAGTGTCTTTGCACTAAGCTACATCCCCAGCCCTTCTTATTTTTTATTTTGATACAGGGTTTCTCTAAGTTGTTAGGTGAAGTTTGAAGTTGTAATTCTTCTGTTTTAGCCACCTACAATTCTGGGATTATAGGCATGTATTTCCATGTTTGGCTAGATAAAGCATTTTCACAAATCATTCCCTATCTCTGTATATATTTATAGATATAAATATTATATATATTGTATAGATTCTATTGAAAAGACTTTTTACAAAATGAACTTACTCTCAATATCAGTATATATTATACAGATTATATTAAAAGGGCTTGTTTTTACAAAATTAACTGTATCGATGACATTTTATGCTACATAAAATTGCAATGGACTGATCATAGATGAAGGTTCCCTTCTCAGTTCCTTCGGTGTATGGAAGGCCCAGGTCTTCTCAGGTCACCTTATACAGCACAAGTTTGACTATGCTGACTGACAAAAGGACTGACAGTATAATATAAGCTGTATAGTATAAACAATGTCAACATAGATGGCAAATAATGAAGCTTCATTTCTTTCTTCTGGAATAAAACAAATGAACACTGCTTTTTTTTTTTTTTTTTTTTTTTTTTTTTTTTGTACTGGGAATCGGACTCTAGACCTTGTGCTTGTGAAGCAGATGGTGGCACCACTGAGCTAAATCCCCGGCCTGACACTCCATTTTTTTTTCCTTCAGAACTGTAGTAGATTGTTTTGAACACCTGTGACTGTGTGTCCTCCAGTCTTGATGTTGTTTGCCTCAGCAAATATGAAAAAATTAAAAATCACCCAGGAGAAGTCCTCTCTCCCAGTGTTGCTATGCAGCTTGTGCACGTTTGGAATGAAAAGGAGGTTTTATGACAAAACAGAATTTTTCAGAGAAAAGCAATATAAGGAAAGATGACTTAAAGATTTCCAGGACACTCTTGATGAAGAGCAGCTTTGGGAAAACAAGCCAACATTGATTTTGAAGAACAAATCCTTAGAAAGAAGTTTATGAACAGATTGCTATGGAAAGAGTTCAGGCTTGTTATAGAAAGCATTATAAAATATTCAGAGAAATTTTGGATGAAATACTTGATTTGTCTGCTAAAGGGGCAGACTATTGAATGTTGACAAATAATCTGATTCCACTTAAGATGATGAGTGATTGGAAGAAATTGTTTTTGCATGAAAAGCCTATATATGAACAAACCTCTATTAAGCATATGCCTGCTAATCCCCCTGAAGAACAACTTAGAGAACTGGATAAAAGACTTGCTAGATAGCAAAGATTATGAAGAATATAAGAATATGATTGAAAGTGGGCTGTACCGGAAGAAATGACAGATAGTTTACCACCCCCCAGCAATTCTGTACTGGGTCATGCCCTTCACAGACTCATTGAAAAATCTCTTCCTTCTCAAATTGAGCCAAAAGAACCTGAACTGTCTTCATTTGCTACTAAAGGATTCTTACTTAGTGGGAAATGTCTCACTTTAAAGACTTTACAAATAGAATTTCCTATTCGATCACTCTTGTCCAAGAAGCTATCCAACCATTTTGTGACAATGAAAAAGTCAGTGAGGACCTACCAATTCAGAAAGAAGGTGAAGAGGTTCCATCAAATCTGTAGGAGGACAGTAAAGAAAGCCAGGACACACACAAGGTATCTTCAGATGCTCCAGTTTCAGGTGAACCATTAGCAGAAACAGAAGGTAAAACTGCCTGTAGTACACATACTAGCAGAACACCAAAATAGAAGAAGTCAAATCAAGTGAGTGATCATATCTCTAAACTCATTGTACATGCTCAGCTTGATGCAAAATCACAATTGGAAAAAAAACATTCCAAATACATTATTAGTTAACATCATAGTAAATGCTATGAATGAGATACCTGTGGATTCTTGATGGTTTTCCAATGACATTAAACCAAGTACAACTTCTATAGGAAGCTCTCACTGGATGCAATAGAAACCTCATAAAAATGGAGGCAAATAAAACACAAATATCCACATTGTCTGTGAATCCTACAGCTTCAAAAGAAGTACCTCTTCCCTCTTCTGCATTTGATTTTTTCATATTACTAGATATTTCAGATACTTTCTTGCTGAGTCACATGCATGTTACCATAGCTGAAAGTTCTTCACCTGAAAAATGGCTCATAAAAATATTGGTCAACATGGTGCTGCTGAAAACAAAGATAAGCATGGGTACCAGAACTTAGGTGATCACATACAAAAGAGAACTGTAGGCTTCTTGGACAACTGGCATTTGTTGAAACAGTGGTTTTCAGAACCAGAAAATATTTTGATAAAAGTCAATGCTGAAATAGATAAGGAGCCTTTATGCCAGAAATTAAAAGAAATTTCTGCAACTGAGGTAGTGAAGAAAAAGAATAAGGTAATTACATTTATTTTAAAAAAATTTTGGGCTGGGGATTTAGCTCAGTGGTTCCACCACCTGCCTTGTAAGCACGAGGACCCGAGTTCAATCCCCTGTACAGCCCCCCAAAATCACTAAGTTAAACAAAACAACTCCTTAAATATAATTTGAGAAATAAAAGTAGGTGAGTTTAGATTTTAAAATCTGATAGTGAAATGTAATTTCAAATATAAGAGTTGAGCATGGTGGCACATGACTGTAATACTAGTACTTGGGAGGCTGAGGCCAGCCTTGGCTACATAGTGAGTTCAAGGCCAGCCTACTCAAAACATCAACAATAGGAACAGCAAAAAATTATATATACTTACATATATAATATATATTATATATGAATAATACTGGTTGCATTATAAGAGTGAGAAATAAAAAGTTTTAAGAAAATGCTGTCACTATATTAAGGAATTATCCAATCCTTTATAGTGTTCTATGTATCATACTTGGTACTTTATCTAAAGTAGAAATAGAACTATAGAAAATTTGAGGAAAATATCACATGAATCATAAAATGAGAAAAAGATAAAAGAACTGGAGTTGTTTATCCTAGAAAGCCTAGGAGAATTTGAGTCTTCCAGGATATGAAGAGTTATAATCCCTTAAGGTCTATTTAAGTCTTTGACACATCTGGTTGAGCCAGACATAGATTCCACAGAGAATTAGCTGAGGCAATAACAGCAATGTACCTCTTTAAGCTAGAGGCATTAAAGCCTCACTTTTGAAATGGTTTCAGTCATTAATTGCACATAATTGACAGTAAATAACTGAGTCATCAAATGAAAAGTATTTAAGAAAAGCTACTATTTACCACTGATAAGCGACTATAATAATAGTTATCTTCAAAGTCTAGCTAGCAGGTTTGAGCTCACAGGGCTAATATGATTCTCTGAATGTAGAAACTGCTGACAGGACTTATGTAAATAAATTGTTGTCAATTACTAAAAGACAAGGTGGTGCGGAGGAGAGAAAATGAGAGAAAAAACAAACAGTTTTTATTTTATTTTTGATACTTAGATTAGAAGACAATGCAATTTCCCTAATATGGAGGTATAGTAGTTTTACTTTTGATAATTAATAGTCAGCAAAAATTTTAATTAATTTCCAAGTACTTTTAATCAAAAAATTGGTGCTAGCAATTTAAGAGTTCTGATCTTTTATCTCTTCCCCTTGGTTTTTCTCATGAGTCTAGTATAGAAAGTGAGAAAATCCTGTGATCTGAAAACTATATTTGATCCTAATGTAGTATTGCTTTAAAATGCAGTTTTTTCTTCATTAAAAAACACAATTGAACTTTAGGCATTTCAGTTCGGATCTTAAATTTGAACAGAGCTAATTTGGCCTAAGAAATAATGAACTTTGGGCCTTTTGTTTATGAGCACTCCATTGAACTGTCTTTCAGATCAAAGAAGTTAATTCTGCTCTGTACCAAAGAGGTATTAACTGGCCTCAATTTGAGTTCCTTTGAGTATTTGAGTTTTCTAATTTAGGTTGCTTTGTGTTTCTGTTGTGTTGTTTGTGTTCTGCTGTGTTGTGTTTGACACAGGGTCTTTCTACATATAGTCCAGGCTGGCCTTGAACTCACTATATAGCTGAGACTGGCCTTGAACTTGCAGTCTTCCTGTCTCAGTCTCTTGAGTGCTGGGATTATAGACATGCACCACTGTGCTCCACTTTGCTCTATGTTTTATTAAATTGTTTTACTTAGAAATTTTAATAAATTTGAATACCGAATAGTTTCTCTGGTGTGAAAAACTATTAGTACATAAGATCCTAAAGATATAATTGACCATGTGAAATAGGAAGAAAAGGGCTAAAGGTGTAGGGAAAATGGGAAGGGTAGGGGAAAGGTAATAAGGGAAAAGAAAACAATATGAGAAAATGAAAATAAAGTGTTTGTAAATGGGGAGGGGAGGAGGGGGTGAAGGGAGGGCAGGGACAGGGGAAAAAATGAGAACCATGACCTGTCATGTAAAGGTACAAGATCCCAGTAATGAAAGTAATTGTACTGTATACCTAAAATGCACCAATAAATTCAATAAAAGAAAAGAAAAAAAAGAAATTTTAATAAATTTGATACTTTTGTTTCCCCATATTCTTACTCATTTTTACAGCAGTATTTTCTGTTTAATTATATTCAGAGCCAGTTCATGGTTAGAATTATGTCTTAATCGTAAAATTGTTTTCTTTTTTTTAAAAAAATTTTAAAATTGATTTTATTGGTACAATCTAGGTAGATAATACAGTTACATTCACTACTGGGATCCTGTACCTTCACATTACAGGTCTTGGTTCTCATTTTTTTCCCCTTGTCCATGCCCTCCCTTCACCCCTCATCCCCTCCCCATTTACAAACACTTTATTTCCATTTTTTCATTTTCTCATATTTTTTCTTTTCCCTTATTCCCTTTCCCCTACCCTTCCCACCTTCCCTACACCTTTAGCCTTTTTCTTCCCATTTCACACTATTAATTATCCCATTAGGATCTTGTGTACTATTATAGTTTTTCACACCAGAGAAACTATTTGGTATAAAATTATTTTATTTGAGATTGTGTGATGCTGTGATTGGTATATAAACTGATAAACATAACTGGAAACTATAGCAGTAACTCATGTCTCATCCACTTAAGTAGATGAATCAGTAAGAAAATGGAGAAGAGGCGCTAAAGCAAATAATATGACTAAAATATCTTTGCTTTCATAATCATATCATTGGTTAGTACTTCTTTAAACTGAGCATTTTATCAGTCATTAAAAGAAAAGGATTCTAAATACTAAATACTAGCCCTCATTTCCTTAACTAGTTGACTTACAAAACGACGTCATCCAAGTCCTGTGACTGCCATTTAATTGATTTTTTCTCCTAAGTGGAAGTGATCGTTCCTGTATTTAGAAGAGATGCCCCTCATCTCTTCTAAAGTTACAATGAGAGAACTACAAATAATAAAGTTTTATATAACATAAAAATAACAATGCTTCTATATCAAACATCATTTTAGAGCAAAGTTTTCCATTTTGAATAGTGGAGGACAAAAACCAACCATTTATTTCATTGAGATATATTATCTAAAAGAAAATACATTACTTGGGTAAGTAATTTTTCAAATGTGTGGGTGAACAAATTATTATTATTGCTAGTCTAATTTTCCAAAATTCTGAACAGATATTAGTATTATAATTGATTTTTTCCTGCTAGTTTTAGAACTTTATATAAAAGTCTACAATCTGACCATTATTATATGACTACAAATGAGATACATACCATATTGGCATTTTTATCTCTAAAGATAAGGACTGTGTTAGTCCATCTTCTCTTATAACAGAAAATTAGACTAGGTATTTATTATCAGTGGGTGATCAATCCTCTGACTGCCTAGAAAGGGGGATGGCAAGGGCTGAACAAAAAAGAAAGAAAAAGACAAGAAGTTTGGGTAATTTGAAAGTATATAGGGGGCTGGGAGGTCACTGCCTCAGAGCCAGCAAAGAAAAAGACACTCTGAGCTTGCCACTATTTATTGGGTTTATAGGGAGTATCAGATGACTCAGAGTGTGAACATAACCCTAAATTGATGGAGATCTTACAATTGGAGAAAGAATCAGACAACTTGGAGGAAGAATCAGATGACTCGGAGGGTGGTGGTAATCCTATGATGATGACCCCCCCACCCCAAAAAAATACTCATTTCAAAAAAAAATTCAAAAAAATCCTATGACAATGAAGATCTTAGGTAGATGAGGAGCTTATGTTGATTAGGACAGTGAGTTGAGCAAAACATTCTTAGAACAGTAGGTGAGATGAGTTAAACTGATAAGGAATTTGTCCCTCTGCAGGTAAACCTTTCTCTTTTTGTGTTACTACTCAGTTCTCGAAGAACCAGGATGTCTTCAGGTGATGTAATGTTGCCCTTGAGCATCACACATCACCAGACCATTGAGGCCTCAGCTGTGACCAGAGGCAAAATAGAGTTATGTTCCCACATGCCTTAGCTGGCCCACAAGGAAGAAGACCAGGCTTCAGACGGCCCTAATCATAATTTAATTGTAAAATTATTTTCCCCCAAAATTATGTAGAATGGCCCCCAACAATTTTTAATTGAGCAGAAAATTATTTCATCCATTTTTCTGCAGGCAAGAGAGAAGTCCAAGAGCATGGCACCAGCAACCGGTGAGGCCTTTCATGCTGGATGTCTCCTGATGGAAGGTGGAAGGGCAAGAGAAGGCAAGCTCATTTTGGTAACAAATCTACTCTCCCAGTAACTATATCCCTTGATAACAGTATTTATCCATTTATTAATCCGTTCATGAGGACACAGCCCTCATGACATATTGGCTTTTTCTTAGTCCTACCTTTCAGTACTCTTATTGCATGGAGGATGTTTCCAGCACATACACTTTTGAAAACACTTTCAACCATAGAAGTCTATGAGTATATTATGTTACAGGCATTCAGTTAAATTCATTTAACCCTCATAGCAATCTCATGATATAAGTATTATTATTATTATCTCTGTTTTGAGAAGGAAGAATCACTATTATCATCCTTGTGTTACTGATAAAACAATTGCTCAGAGAGGTGAAATGATTTGCTTAAAATAGAAAGTGGAAAAGCTGGGAGTTAAAACCTGGGTCTGTTTAATTCCAAAGTTTGTTCTCGTAACCTCTACAGACAAAATACATGAGCAATGTATTTGTCTTATCTAAATGAACAGAATCATATTTCTTTTTTTTTCAGCTTTAATTAAGTTTATTGGTACATTTTCGGGATACAATACATTTACATTTATTGTTGGGATCTTGTACCTCTACATGACAAGTCTTGATTCTCATTTTTTCCCCTTACCTCTGCCCTCCCTTCACCCCCTCCTCCCCTCCCCATCTACAGACACTTTATTTTCATCTTTTCATTCTCTCACATTTTTTTCTTTTCCCTTTTTACTCTTCCCCTACCCATCCCACCTTCCCTACACCTTTAGCTCCTTTCTTCCCATTTCTAAATGTCAGTAATCTTATTAGAATCTTATGCATTGTTGCAGATTATTCACACCAGGGAAACTATT